GAAAAGGAAGGGAAAAGGAAGGGAAAAGGAAGGGAAAAAGAAAGAAATAATTATACAAAGAATAAATAATATACCTACCTGATTCTATTTAAAAAAAAAAATAATTTTAATGATATCATAGGGATGCCTTAATAATGCCCAAATAATATTCAAATTTTCCCTATATTTCTATTTCTACTACTACTACTACTTCTACTACTTCTACTTCTTCTACTTCTTCTACTTCTTCTACTTCTTCTACTTCTTCTACTTCTTCTACTTCTTCTACTTCTTCTACTTCTTCTACTACCAATACTTCTACTACTTACCACTTCTCCCACTACAATCACCAATACTACCACCACTACTACTGATTATTGCTGCTACTACTGCTGCTACTACTATTCTTGTTATTCTTACTACTAGTACTACTAGTACTACTAGTACTACTAGTACTACTAGTACTACTAATACTACTACTAATACTACTAATATTACTAGTACTACTAGTACTACTAGTACTACTAATACTACTAGTACTATTAGTACTACTAGTACTACTAGTACTACTAGTACTACTAGTATTACTAGTATTATTAGTACTACTAGTATTACTAGTACTACTAGCACTACTAGTATTACTAGTACTACTAATGCTACTAGTATTACAAGTATTACTAGTACTACTAGTACTACTAGTACTACTAGTACTACTAGTACTACTAGTACTACTAGTATTATTAGTACTAGTAATACTACTAGAACTACTAGTACTACTAGTACTACTAGTACTACTAGTACTACTAGTACTACTACTACTACTACTAGTAGTACTACTAGTACTATTTATACTACTGCTATTGTTGCTGCGGCTACTGCTACTACTTTATTATTATTATTAATATTAATACTAATTTCATTACTACTACTAGTACTACTACTACTACGACGATGACGACGACAACGATTATTAGAATTCCTGCTATTATTAGAACTGCTGCTATTAATACAACAAATACAATATTATATCTATTTCAGTTGTGTTTAGCCTTAGCGATACCCCTTGTAAATCAATACTGCGGAGTGATGGTAAAATTATTACGAAATTGTGGTTAGCGATGGGACCTTTCCAAATTATGTCGATATTTTTTTTATGAACAAGGAATTTTGATAATCATATATATTAATATTATTTATAAAATATTATTTTAAAAAAATAATAGTATTCTTTATCTAAATAAAAATATATATATCTAAATATTTGGAAAAAAATAGATAATTAAAAATAATAATTAATAATATTTATATATATATTTATTATTTTTATAATTATTTAATTTAATTTATTGAAATTAATATAAATTATTTTGTAGAATTCTTATATATTAAATATTATTATTTTTATTGGATAATATATATATAATATATGGTTCTTAATTATTTAA